ACGAGGGAGTCACAGAGAGAATGGTCCCTCCGGAAGGCAGATAAGGGTGGGGAGGGAAAAATGTCCTTGGTAGTGGGGTCAGATTGTAGGTGGTGGAAGTAGCGGAGGATGATGCGTTGAATCCGGAGGTTGGTGGAGTGATACGTGAGGACAAGGGGGATTCTGTCTTTGTTGTTATTGTGGAAGGGGGGTTGTGAGGGATGAGTTGCGAGAAACGCGAGAGATGCGGTCAAAGGCATTTTCGACCACTGTGGAGGGGAAATTGCAGTCCTTGAAAAACGAGGACATCTGCGATGTCCAGGAGTGGAATGCCTCATCTCGGGAGCAGATGCGGCAGAGGTGAAGGATTTGGGAATAGAGGATGGCATTCTTGCAGGAAGGTGGGTGAGAGGAGGTGCATTCGAGGTTGCTGTGGGAGTCAGTAGGCTTGAAATAGATATTATTTTCCAGTTGGTTGCCAGAGATGGAAACAGAGATGTCCAGGAAGGAGAGAGAGAGGTATCAGAGATGGTCCAGGTGAACTTAAGGTTGGGGTGGAAGGTGTTAGTAAAGTGGATGAACTGTTCGAGCTCCTCGTGGGAGCACGAGGCGGCGCCGAAAAAGTCATCGATATAACGGAGGATGGGGCCAGTGTAGCTGCAGAAGAGCAGCTGTTCCATGTATCCTACAAAGAGGCAGGCATAGCTTGGGCCCATGCGTGTATCCATGGCCACCCCCTTTGTCTGTAGGAAGTGGAAGGAGTTGAAGGAGAAGATGTTCAGGGTAAGGGCGAGTTTAGCTGAGCAGATAAGGATATCGGTGGAGGGGGACTGATGGGGCCTGCGGGAGATGGAAGCAGCGGAGGGCTTTTAAGCTATCTGCATGGGGATTGCAAGTACACAGGGACTGGACGTCCATGGTGAAGATGAGGTGTTGAGGACCAGGGAATCGGACGTTTTGAAGGAGGTGGAGGGCATGGGTGGTGTCACAGACATAGGTGGGGAGTTCCTGGACCAGGGGGGAGAAAATGGAGTTGACATTATTTGAAATAAGTTTGGTGGGGCAGGATCACGCAGAGACAATGGGTCAACTCGGACAGTCGGGTTTGTGGATTTTGGCAAGGAGGCAGAAATGGGTGGTGCGGGGTTGGGGAACGATGAGGTCGGAGGCTGTGGGTGGGAGGTCACCTGAGGTGATGAGGTTGTGGATGGTCTGAGAGATGATGTTTTGGTGGTCAGGGGCGGGGTCATGATCAAGGGGGCGGTGGGAGGAGTCTTTCTTTATCTGGTTTGTGACATTATAAAATACCCTTACTAAATGTAAACTTGATTCCTTTCCTGTTTGAGTACTTTCAACAAGGAGTCAGCCGTTAACATTTCAAACATGATGTGAATGTTAATGGGCTATCAATGAGATTAATTGGAACTAGCATGATGTCAATTGACAATGGAAACAAAAAACAAACTTGCCTTTCCTCAGTTGTGCTTGGTTGGTTGTATCTTTGGATACATCTCTGGAAATTGAGCTCAATACAAGTCTGATTCAATCCGCTCTGTCACTGTGGAAAGGATATTCTCCATTCTGATCGCAGTAACATACCTGCTGTTAGTTAGAAGCAGCTGCTCACACTTGGCTTTGTACCGACAAAATATTACATCATCTTGGTCCTTGGAGTATTTGCCTGGAGGAAGGCAGAAGGGATATCTCCTGTAAATCAACATCAGCCAAGTTTGACAATTTCAAACAGATTAACGTATATTCAGTTAATAGTTATTAGGATGTTCCTTTTCTTTAACTTCACCTGTCAAAGGAGCAGAACTCCAAAAGCTTATGATTTTAAATAAACCTATTGGACGAGAACTTTGTCATGAGAATTCTGTCTTTTCTTTAAAGTCATCAATTCAAATACAAGTCTGATTCCATTCTTACATCGAGTTGCTCCTTGTCTGATGATTTTGTTTTTTAAATATATAATTCGATACCAATTGAGTGAGATTCAGAAACTAAGCAATAATTGCACAGCTCCATTTAAGGTGCTACCCGAAGATGCTGCAATGTTGACACAGATTCCAACACACTAACTGTTGAAAAGAACAATAGGCACTATTTCAAATGTTTTACTCCAGACATGTGATCTGTTAGCTCCAATCTCCGTCCTACACAAGATACTTGTATTCCCACAATCTTGTCTATGTTTCCACGATTTACCACACAATGTCAACAAACAGCGTGAAATAGAGGCCAAACAGTAATTTGCATCAGTGTTTAGAGATTTGAAAACCACAAGAATGACCCCCAGCAGCTTCTTGCCGCTTGTGTTCGGACCACACACAGCCCGAGAAAGGCCTCTCTCTTCCCCGCCAGGCCGCTCACTCCAAGTTCCGGGACCAGTTCCTGCTCCGCTCGGCCTCT